ATGCTCTGGTTAGCCTTGGACTTGCACAGAAGGTTACTGTTACTTCTGCTCATTCTTATAATGTTATAGCCTCTTCATTCCCTCCTTCATCTGGGGCGTTCAAGCAAGATCTGATACAGTATATTCAACCCATTCTTAACTTTCATGCTCAGATCAAATCACCCTTCCTTATTAATGCTTATCCCTTTTTTGCATATAAGGGAAACCCAAATCAGATTTCTTTGAACTATGTGTTGTTTCAGCCTAATTCAGGGTCTATTGATCCAGTTACCAATTTGCATTATGATAACATGTTGTTTGCTCAAATTGATGCTGTCTATGCTGCCATTAAGAGACTGGGCCATACTGATATTGAAGTAAAGATTTCAGAGACTGGTTGGCCTTCTAAAGGTGGCCCTGATGAATTTGGAGCCACACCACAGAATGCAGAAATATATAATAGCAATCTGTTGAAGAAGATAGAGCAGAAACAGGGCACTCCTGCAAGGCCATCTGTCCCTGTAGATGTTTTTGTTTTTGCACTTTTCAATGAGAATTTGAAAACTGGTCCTTTATCGGAGAGAAACTTTGGTCTCTATTATCCTGATGGAAACCCAGTTTATAACATTGGATTAGAAGGTTATCTCCCAGAAATGACTGGGGAGTTTGAGTCCAAATCTAACGTAAGTATACATTCAGTCACTTTAACTGTTAAAAGTTTCTTCACTTTTTGATTTTGAAACTTACTAAAGGGGATGTCTGTGTCTATTTATGTATCTAATGCTTTCGTAGATATTGTTATGCAGGTGCTGTCCATCAATTTTGTCTGCATATTTGCATTTTTGTTGTTCACTTGGGAGCTTTCAAGACACTGATAAGGAATATAACAAAACAAATAACTTTGTAGAATTCATTCTTTTGTTAGAGGTGAGGAAAATTTTAATATTGTCCATATAATTTTTTATTCACAAGTGTTGATATCTATTTTCTCTTTACATTACAATTTCTGTAACTGTTGGAAACTGGTTACCGTAAATGATGAAACTAAAATTAGTTTGGTGTAGTTGTCTTTTTAATCCTTTGGTTGGAAGAAAAGTAATTCAGCTGGTGAAGCTCTAATGATTAATGTTTATATTATGATAGAAATTAGTAATGATGAGGGGCATAACGAGATGTGAAGTCTGGAAAAAAGAATTCAAAAGTGTATTTGATTCCATGAAGTTATTCTTTGACTTTTTGACAGTACTATGCTAAATAAGTAATCGAAGCAGAAGCACAGGGTGTAAAAGATTGTGGCTAAATGGTATCTCTTTATGCAGAAGCTGTCAAATGCTGTCCAATTAGTGCTAGTGCATGCACCATGTGGACTATGGTGACCCTGTAACGACCCCCAGAAAACCTTATTTTCTTCACCGTCTCCATTAAAAAAATGGTGATGGGTCTCCACCTTCCTTATCTGCCACTTGCAATCATGCATGTGAATCTTCTGGTGAATGAAATTCTCCTTGTCTTCAGCTATACAAAAGTCCAATTTCTGTTTTATCAAACGTGAAAGAAAGCCCTCAGGTTCCCTCTTGACAGATAACCCAACCCTGTGAATTTTGTCCTTGTTTCTCAACCTTATCTCATATGTGCCTTCTCTTTCCGCCATATAACCCTCTCTACCATCCTTTCTTTCAATGATTGACCTTAATTTTTATCTACTATCAAAGTAAAAAAACACTGTCCATAAATTAATTTCAGTTGCATAAATTCCTATCTCTTAATTAAATTTTGGTTGTGGAATTGTAATGTCTGTTATCAACAAGCGGCTGCTGTTGAACTGTTTGAGATATTCTTTTGTTCTATCTTTGTCAGTGAGTTATATACCTTGTGCTCATAGAATTTGTTTAGCTGAGAATTCCTTTGTGTGAACTGTTCCAAAGTCAAATGAGGTGTTCTGTTACATTAAATGGTATGTTGCGTATGTTTTCCAACCGTATCTCACTACAGCAACAAGAATATATAATGCGTCAAAAAATAATTTTAAATTTAACTTAATTTCACAAAATTGATTTATAAGATAAGATTTGCATTTGATTATTGTTGAATCTAACAGGAAAGAGATTCACCAGAACACAAACACAAATAAAATATGAGTCCGATCATATAAAAGATTAACACTACTCTCTACCAAAAATCTTAACATAATGGGTTAATGGATCTTTTATTTTTATATACTCCTCTTTTTTCTCATTTTTATCCGACGCGTAGGAGTTAAATATATGATTTTAGATATTATTAAAAATATCTTTTTTCTATTTGCAACTGTAATGGTGCCTCTTTGTTGGACTAGAATGAAATTATGTTGAAAATTCAACAATAAAGTCATAAAAATTGGTCTGGAGGCGGCTGTTGGTGATGGCCCAGTGCTGAAATAGGGTTCTTACATCAGCATGGTTCAATTGGGATGAGTTTCACAGAGCCAATTTGGATAGGAAATTGATGGAATTAAAAACAAAATTTAATACAACTTCAGACAGCTTGGGACATTTAATAAGAAACATAACGATAATGTGTGCGACATTTAATAGGTATATCCATCAGCCTGTGCTATAAAAATCTGATAAAAAACTCTACACTATTGTTTCATGAAAAACATGAAAAAACTAAAAAACACTACTGTCTTTTATGGGGAATGGTTGATTCGTATTGTTGAATTAATATTTGTACATGTTTTTTGCAGGGGACAGATTCAAGGCAAACCCTAACTTTTTTGTACACAGCAATGGGACCAATTATACCTTTTTCTAATTTTTTTTAGCTTAATCCATTCATATGTTTTTTTTTCTTTTACAGTAAGCAACAGTCAAAGGTATAGGCCAGAATTAGATTCATGGAATACAGTGATTTTTTTGACAGAAAGTTGATACAGAATAAAATATCTTGGTTTTTTGACGGAATAAAGTAATCTTTTAGATGCACGTTATGAATTTATTCTGTTTATTAGTTGGCAAATTTAGCAACGTTGATTTACTAATATAACCGTTTATTGCAGTTTTCTTTTATAGTTTTAAACTTATTTAATAACGACAAAGCTGAAAATTAGACGTGTAAGAAACCAGAAAGAGAACGTACGAAGAAAAGATTTATAAGAAAAACGCGGAATCGCTTATTTATTTTCTATTGTCTTCTTAGCTGCAGACATAACAAATAAAATATATTTTGATTCGAGGAAAAATTATATTTTGTATTTGTCAAATTACACGTGAAGTGTAAAAAATGGAATTCGTGTAATCTAGTTTATAAAAAGTTCTGTAATTTTTATACTTTTTGATTTAAGATATAACAATATTATATGTTTAAATAACATAAAAAAAAGTGAATACAACTTTACTAAAAAGAATTGAATTTATTTATTAAAGATATAAAATATTATAAAAAGATTAAATTTATTTATTAAAGTTATAAAATAGTATAAGCTCTATTTTCGTTGAAAATATAAAATAAATAATGTTTATTTTAAATTTATAACACATTTTAGATAATGAAATAAAGGTAACATTTTTATTATTGTAAATTAAAATTTTCAATTCTAGTAATTGGAAAGATGTTTATTATTCTTAAATTGTGATAGTAACCCATAAAAATAATTGGTAAATTATATATTTTTTTATCTTTTATCATTTATAATTTGTTTCTAGATTTTACAATTTCTTTATTAGTTTTAATTTCCTATATTCTGTTTGTTATTATTTTAAGTCGTTCCCATTAAGTACTACCAGAAAATAAAAATATAAAAATAGGGTCATATTTTTTTTCTTCTTTATTAATACATTAGATGATTTAATATAAACAACTTAAAAGAGTTAGTTTAAATTTGTTTTGCACGCTTTGCTTTTGATGAAATTCTTTACTTCGAAGCATTAATTGAATGGTGGGCCTCCCACTCTTAAAATTGTTTCGGGCTTTGCGTTAGAAAATAATAATAATAATACGAATATGAAATTTTAGGTCCACTTAGAGAAAATGAAAGTTTACCAGAATGATTGCTTTAATATATTGAATGATTGGGCTTTTGGAGGCGTAGATATGAAGTTTAAGCTATCATATGATAATATATAAAGAAAATGAAAATTAAAACTGATATATTAGAGATTACATAACTGCAAGATCTTTGATTATACTTGTGTTGCACAGATTATGATGAATGACAACAAAGCTAATAATGGCCTCAACAATGTCAACCGAGGAATGCATTATTTGGAAGACAGATTTTAACTGCAATTGTTAATTGAAAAACACTGATTAAGACAACTATTAGACATATAGAAAAAAAAAACTTGTCCAAAAAAGACAAAAAAAAAGTATGTGAAAGCATAAAAGACACATCTATTACTTATTAAATTTTCCTTGGAAACTAAATTTGGTTATAACAGTTATCTATCTATTTGTAATAGACTTAGTTTTTTTTTTTTTTGTTTTTCTCTTCCATTCTACATGATTATATATGTATCATGCTTGTAATACACTTGATTAAGAATTTTTAATATGATAAGATGAATTTTATTACACATGTCTAATTACTAAAAACTTCGTCAAATTCAGCGGGCTTTCAAAGGTTTTCTTTGATATTTTCTTGTTTAATTTTGAAATTTGAAATTTCTCCACTTTAGCATTTGAATTTTATAACTATGTTTGGAGGATTTAAAAGCCACATTTATATGTCATTGTGTATTTAAATGTCATTTAACATATCATTTTCACTTGATAAAATAATAATCATCTCTTATGTAAATCATTTTGAGATGTATGCAAGGTTGAATTTGTGAGAACCTTTATGCGAGTCATTTCTTACTTTGAATCTTATCTTCATCTTTTAGAAAACAAAAGAAGAATTTTGATGAAAATGAAAATATTTTTTCATATTCATTAAGTCTTTATCTTTTTTCTTTTATTTTCAATTATAATTTTAGTTGTAATTTATTTCCACCGTTCGATCCATTCTAGATTTTGTTTTGATTATCTTTCTTCCTTTTGTTTTTAGAATCATTTATTCACATTTTTAATGTCATATAAATGCACTAAAATAAGGGATGACATATTTTTATTCTTTAAACTTCTTATCATAATTCTTTTCTCTTTAATTCTCCCTCTCTCATTTAAACCATATGTCAATAACATATCTTCTACATATCGAATCACAATTTTTCCCAGCGAGTTGTGAACATTTTTAAATGACTTACAACTTCTAACATCACTTTGTATCTATTTACCAAAATATCACATTTTTTTCTTATTTTTATTTTTCACTGTCAAGTTGAAAATTTTAAATATTAACTTATATTAAAAATATTCACTTAATTTGTATATTCACAATTCTTCGTATATTAAACATATTTACTTGCATGTTCTAGACAGACTTATATTTTGTATTACCTTTTTAATATAGTTGTATTTTTTTTATAAAACTCTCTCTCTCTCTCTCTCTCTCTCTCTCTCTCTATATATATATATATATATATATATATATATATATAAATAAATTTGTAAATATGAAACTAAACTCATCCCAATTCGTTGGGTAGCTTATTTAGTTATATACGTGCGAATGATTGAATTAAAATAATAAAATCAAATGATGATATTAGTGAACAAATTCTATCATCAGTCTATGTAATTGATTATTACATCCACCACAATAGTCTATAATCAAATCCCACCATTGATTTATACAATTTAATAAAAATATTGATGTCACACAATAGGCTTTCTTTTCCATTTTTTTAATAATGAACATTCTTAATACCACACGCAAGTTGGAAAAACATGATGTTGATGATATTTGGTGAAAGAGTAGAGTTAATAATTTTGTTATTTGTCATTTTTCTATTATAAAATCTATCTGCCCACTATGTTATTCATGTATATATATGTAAGCATCACGTATAGTTTTGACCCAATATCCGTGTCTTCTTCTCAGTCAGAACGGATGGCAATAACGTAGAAGTTAGTGTTTTTGCTTTGATTTTTTGCTTCTTTTTATTGCACACAATTCATAAAATGTCATAGTATTATTCTTTCATCATTCTTATTGATAAATACTGAAACAAAGTATGGGTACATAGCACATATCATCCCATAGTCATGTACAACTCTTACATAATGTTTACAATCAAAAGCAATAGAAAAAAAA